CGCACGCGCCGCCATGTCTGTTTGACATGCTATTTATATCTAGCAGGTAGCCGGATGTTGTCACAGAGCTGTCATTGTGCCCAGCACCACACAATATCCAGTACATCCACTAGTACACACTACTTTACTGTACTTCATCCCACTTGCTAGTGGTTATTGAGTGAGGAGCCACTCAACTGACTTAGTATCTGGGTTGTTAACTGGATATTTCCACAATGCAGTCATATGTAGTAGATTCGTTTTTAATACTAATACTATAGTTACGATTGAGTCATTTAAGAGCTAAAATGTCAGTTTGTAAAAAATATCAACATAAAATAACCAGACAAAATATTGTAGAGGTAATGCCTGTAATTAAACCTTAACCTCTTATTTCCTACAACAGTTTGATAAACTCTGAGCGGCTGCCAAGCTACAAGTCTAGAAGGCCAGTGGGTGAGCAGCTGAGCAGCAGTATTGTTCCGTAGGAGTAGGTAGTGGCTGCAGCAATCCGCGCGCGCACTGAACCGAACCCCCGCCGCGCGCCGCCGCAGTAATAATACAATTTGCACCAGACCACAGTTATTACGAGAATGGGATTATTTCACTGGCAGATTACCATGACAATCAAATACATGTGTCTAAAAGATCATAAAAGTAAATAAAACATCACGATACAAATTGATTTAATATTGATATGCACATGTCGATTCCCTCGGCTTCCTCCACCTCACTTGGAAGCCACGTTATGGCCGCGTCATGCTCTGCTCGCCGGGAAATGGATCTCTTGCCAATCACGAGTATGTCTACTTCAGTAAATGTGTATAATACACGATTGTTCTCGTAACTTCTATCAAATCACTTTATTTTTATAATATTTAACCTAGGGAGCTACTTATTAGAACCTAGAAAGTTTAAGAAAGTAATAATGGCAGTATGGTGTACTAAGAACTTAGTTGAAGGTTGAAGGAGAGTTAAAGACACCCGGGTAATAATACTCTGCAGAGAATCACCTCCAGGAAATCTTGTTCTTCTCAGATGGATGTGTGTTTTTTGCCACCGTAAGGGTATAAAAAAAATACAGACTGTCAGAGCCTGTTTTTTTTATATGTGATGGGCCGACGTTGACCATTATCTCGTCTGGTGGTAGGCAATGCGGCCGACGATGGAGCACGTCGTCCCATAAGCAACCTATTCACTCGGGCCCTGAAGACTCCCAGGTTGTACCCTTCATCTCTAAAACTAAAACGGCCTCGCCTAATCCGCTAGAATTTAATAAAGTAAATAAGAAGATTCATTGTGTTTTCTGCATCAATCTTATTAGGTTGATATTATGAAGGTTATTAAATGCTCAGTGTAGAAATGTATTGTACACATTACAGTAGCGGAAGGACATTTCTAATTATAATGAAAACATTTAGTTCAGCACCGCCACCGAAAATAAGAATAGGACGAACAGAGCCACATGGACATCTAGTCCATCGTTTAAACTATAAACTGTAGAAACATAAAAAGCGTGGAGCTATCAGAGTGCGCGTGTTTTATATTCTGACATTAATTTGAAGGCGAGCGCGATATCTTGACGGGCCGATATCGGAATCTGTTACGTTCCGCACCACCTTTGCTAATCTGAACTAAACATTTAATTTTCGTGAAAAATGCAGCTTTAACGACAGCTATAAATATGAGCTATAGAAAAGATAAAAGCTGAACAATGCTGTGGGGATTATAAATCGCAGCCGGGAGCGGGGGCTGAGACAATCGAGTATTAACCACGCCGGCTGAGCGCGAACAATGCGCCTTATACGTTATTTATTAAGGTTATAACGTGCGCGGCCGCACCCACCGACACTCTTGTATATTCTACGATATAATTTCATACAAACGAGCTTGTTATTGATATTTTATTCGTGCTATATTATTAATATTATATTTCGAGAGCCGCTCATTCACTCGCCATCTTGACACAACTCAATAACAAAAATATTTATTTTTCTGATTCGATGGACAGATGATGAAATGATGACTCTGTGTTTTACTTCTATCTATAAAACACATAATAAATAAATCGTTACCTCTTCCTAGAAAATCATCCCAAAGTGATACATAATAAAACAGCTATCACTACCTAACTACATTGCGTATAGTTATCAAATAATTCAAGAAGCAATGTTCATAGTATCTGTGACAGGTATGGACGGGCGCGGCCGGGCGGCAGGCCTGTGCATGAACCGAGGTGTAAGGTCCACAAGTGCACACACATTACGCAACGTATACAATAGGTCTCTAACTCGCGTTTAAACGAACGACTTTCTAAAGAATAGGAAAGTTGAGAAAATCACCTGCATTAACTAACTAACAGCCTCGCGTTCAGCGTCACACACACCCGAGACATGTACTGACTGTTCATAAACCAATTACTTATTTTCAAACTATTTAAAACACGGTTTCGAAATGAAGTTTTCAGGTGGGTAACTAATACGATATTATAAAAAATACGACTCTCGTAAACTACCTCTAATAACAAAACCTCTACTAGATTCAAATCACACCTTGATTTTTATTCCCCGTAATAAGTCGTATCTTTAATTCATTAAGTGTGGGAGAGCCATGCATCGGCACGAATCCGTCGGCTCGACCGGAGTGATACCACACATAAAAATCCGGCGTGAAACAACGCTTGCGTTATATTTCGTCTTATGAGTGAGATTTCCGGAGGCCCAATTACCCCCTTCTCCAATCTTCCTAATCCCTGAATCCCCAAAAATCCTCAAGTTCCTAATCCCCAAAAGGCTGGTAACGCTCTTGTAACATCTCTGGTGTATCAAGTGTCCACGTGCGGCGGCGATTGCTTACCAGATAGTTTGTAATGTAGCCATTGCTAGTGTTTTGAAAAGAGCGCGCATTTCTTCATATTGAGTTTCGTTTATTTGTGATTATGTAAGTTCTAAAGGTGTGAACACTTGGAGCGGAGTCGTTATGAATGCCCCTGTTTGCTATTAAATATTCACGGTTTAACACTATGTACTGGTGTACATAGCACATATTCTCAATTTACTAGAACATAGTAATCTACAGTCATTAGTAGGTTTTTCTTAAGTGAAGCAAATCGGTACAAAGTCTTATTATTATACCTACGTCGGTAATTGTATCGGTAACTGAGTGGTTATGTGTTACTATACCCAAGTGCGTGTAAGTATATGTACATACTACACCCATACAATAAATGAAAGTACCTACCCTGTACAACTATTTGCTATTAGGTATAGAGACTACTTTTTGTCGAGAAAAGACTGTGAACAGTTGCGTGAATACGGGATGAAAGTTATGATGTTTTTCAAAGGCTAACAAAGGCTAAGTGTACAATAATACAAGTACATTCCACTAAAGCCTATGGTCCTGAAGGCCTGACTCCCTCACAGCGCGGCATGAATCAGAACAAAGCCAATAGTTGTGCCCGTCGGCAGTCGGCACGTTTGTGCGCACCGCATCATTTGCTACCGCCAATTTGCTCTCATCCGCTGCGCCCGCGCACACGGGCGGCGACTCAAAGCCCAACCACAGTTTTTACACAAATAAGCGACATATTTGGAGTAATTAACAGAAAACGCCTGGCGGCGGCGCGCGGCGTCACTCGCTTTTTGTGAACATCATCACGACACGGGAGCTGATGAATTTCATCTCTGACATATGTTTCCGAGTCGCGCACTACTCGAGTTTTACGAGTATTTCAGGAATTTTTCAGATTTAATTGGCTTTTGAGCGGCGTCCTTCTGAAATAATGTCGCGGTTTATTTGTTAATGGTCGAAGGTAGGGATGGTATATTATGTAGAGGTCGTGATGTCGGTATCACTGAACAGCAATATATGGATTTCAATAATGCAATGCGCGCGTGAGTTTCACGTACTTAGGTTTGCTTTCAGGTTTAGAATGATTGTGCTTTCTAAAGTTTAGTACCTGCGTAAGTACTGCGCAAACGCAGTTATCTCGTATGTTTGCGCAAATTAATGAACGTGCCAACATTAAATCATTTATTATTTAGGTATACATTTCTATATATAGGTAAAATTTGAGTAATCAAATAATTTAATATAAGAATGATTATATAATTATTGTTAATTAGACCTTAAGTTCTCTATTCTAAGCGGTTTTTATTGCCTGAGGTACAGGTTTCAAACCTAGTTCAGGCACATGGAATAACATAGCAGCATATAGAATTAAGACATACGAAATTTCTGTTTATATTTTTTGAATAAATTATTTTATTATATTTTGTTTTTTAATTTTATTTGGTACATGAAACGTTTACTGGTGCGCTTAGCATTTGAATTTTCAGCAACATATAGCCAACAATTAATTATGTTCTTATCAGATGAGAGTGCTGCCGCGCCGTGCGCCCGCGCCGCCCGATAGCTCGGTACACTGCGAGTTCAATTGATTAATTGTGAACATGTTTCATAACGACCAACGCGAGCCTAATTAAAATTCGAACATAAGTAGCTCGCTGCAACTAACTGTTGTGTCCAGAATGTCGCCGTATCAGTGGCTCGCATCATTCTCAGTCACAGTACATTAGTTAGCAACACGAATTAACGAACATAAAAAATATCAATTACAAAGAGCGTACATAGTACATAGAGGTGTGTCGAATCCCAGCCGCATACATACGCCGCGTCGTCGCTCCCACCAGCGCGGGCGCACCCTGCCTACTCGAGCGGCACGCATTTTCCTCGGCTCTCGTCTCGCTCGCTGCCCGAGCGCATCCGACCGAACGGGAAAACAGACATATTTCTCCTTAACGTTATAATCTGAACCAAACCTTATTCAAATGAGGTATGGTTTAATTTTATCTGGCAAAATTAATGATGCATCAACACGCTTCAAATAGAACGCGACATGGAAAAAGGAAAGCGTTCGAAATGAAGCGCGGCGATTGGCCGGTGCGGGCCAATGGCAGCGGGGGGCGGGGCGGGTATTCGCTGGCAGTGTGTCGGCGGCGCGTGCGCACATGTGGCGGCGAAGCGTCGCGCGACGAACGTGAGTGCCGCGGTGTCCATGTGAAGTGAAGTGACAACTGACATGATGCTGGGCGGCATGGACGGCAAGGAGTACGGGGCGCTGCACGCCGCAGCCGCCGCCGCGGGATACGCTATGGATACCGGTGAGTCTGCTCACCTCATACGCCAAACATTATTAATTGTTTTTTAATTGACACCGCAAAAAAATTATACATGTACATTATACTAAACCAAAAATCTATGAAAGCATTACTTAAATAATTCATCCAATTATTTTCATATACCTAATTAATCAGTTATTTACTCATAAGAGTTGGTATGCATTTATAAATAAAAAACATGTTACTGAAAATATAAAAATGCGATTGTACTGAAACACTAAACATTTTACAAAGTAGGTTATCTATGTTTAAACAAGTTTAGTCAACTCAAAGTTAGCGATACAGCTTCAGATCTTCAGGATAATTTACCTACATTTACATTAAGAATAAATCTTCCGTTCGTTATCCGGAAATTCCTGAAGAATTACTCCCAGTTGCTACATTGTTCAACGAGGCAAATGTGATAAAGAATTAAAAAATAAGTGCTACGAAACTTAATATATATTTCTGAAATAAGCATTTATCGAATCATTAGAATACTTGAAAAATGTTTAACATACAGATAATAGTCCTTGTAATGTCAAATTAAAAACTGGTCCTAAATAAGTGAAGCGATACTAACTACCAAATAAAATACAGTTTTCCTTAAACCATTTGCAAGGTGGGACCTACTTACCTACTACAGTAAAAGAAGTAGGTACCTACACCTTCTGAAAGAGGTAATTATGTAAATCTAATTATGACTGTACCGATCAACTCAAACAGAGAAAAAAACTGAAGCATAGACAGAAAGAATTAGAAAACCTTTCTATTCAACAAAAATAAATCTTAATTAAAATAAATAGAGTAGTTATCCTAGAGAGCATAGGCTACTGATACTTTCTATTAATAGAACCTTTTACAATCTGGACACAGGTAATAATGTGACAAGTGCAGGTACATAAGAGGTACATAGCATACCCATGTACAATTTGTATTAATGAAAGTAAAACACGGTGTAAGCGCTGGATGCCATTTGCTTGACATGTTACTTAAGATGGCGGCGTGTGTAGTACAGCGCAGGCGCAGTAAACAGAGAGCGAACAAGTAATTAAATTAGAAACAATATTTGTCAAACAAACACGACATGAACTCGGAAATGTTACCTGTTTTATTAGTAAATAGCCATGTACCAACTAATACATAGCCGTAAACAATTTTCAGCGAAAATAAATATTGAAAAGGGAAAATCGAGAAAAACATTCGAGTTTCTTCGTTGTTACATTGAGAACTAAAAATTCATGTAAACAGGTATACTAACGACCGATTTGAAAAAAAATCAGGACGTAAATTTTTCATTATATTTCAATATGTCATTAAACATCTTGAATGAAAATCATAATATCAGAAACAACAATGACAATGACAATGATGTAATGATTATGATATGATAATATGGAAATTAAAGATTAGATTACTTTTGTGTAGGTATCGATGACTCGTAGTCTCGTAGTAGATTCGTAACAAACGGTAAACTACCTCTATATAAATAGATAAAAAATAATCTTCAACACTGTGTCTTTCAGTTTGTTAACAGTTGCAATGAATTTCTATTCTAAATATGGGCATATTTGAGAATATTAATTCATGATACAAAATATTCGCATACATCACATAGTTCTGAACCTAAAACGTGGTCATACATGAGCAAAAGTGAATGACCTCTAGATATTTTCGAAACTATTCAAGAAACGCCAATAAGATTACAATTGGTTCACTCCTTGCAACGACACAAAAAAATTAAAATGGGAAATTGAGATTCGATGAGACAATAAAAAGTTATGCGACTAATAATATTTTCTCTTGCCGTAGTAGAGTGCCACAGCGAGCGAACTACTCACATGTACCTACCTTACAAATTATTTAGGTAGCAAGAATGTAATCTAATTTTAGTAATCAGCAGTTATTACCGAATTCGTTGTTAAAATAGTTTTATGTTCATGAGGTCGCCATTTGAAACTTTATGCGAGATAAGATAACCTATTGAACCGGTTCGATCCAGTATTGCGTCGAACGAGCCCACTTGTTTGTTTTCAGTTCTTTTTCTGTACTTTCATGACATTTTTACGGTCATTTAGTGTGTAGAATACGGTAAAATATGCAAAGTTTTCTATATAATTATTACAATGATGTTTTGAAATTGAAGGGACGATAATAATTTATAAAGTTTATTTTCCGATATTACTTGAATTCAACGAATCAGATTTTATTAGGAGAAAAATGCAGTCCGCGTACCACCAGGAGGATTGTCCTATTAAATATCGAAACAAACATGCTTTTATATAAAAAATGTTATGAAATTTTATGAATATTTCTTTCGAATGTAAGAAGCTCAACATTACCTACCTATAAACAATTCAACGAAATTATGAAACATATTTATACTAAAAACTAGCTTCAAAAGCTTTCATAAACTCACTGTATTTTTATATTCGCGTTAATATTGCAACCAAGCTCAAAAACCTTAATAGGGCGACAGTTCGCTCTTAAAGCCTTTATTGTTTTCAGTTATCAAAAATCTGTCGGATGACGGGATGAGCTGATGACGTACAAACAGCTGATACACAAGCTGAGTCAAGCGAAGCTATGTTTGTTGTGGTGATAAAGAACAACACATGTTTACCAATAGCTTGCATAATTAATTAGCGCCGCTCACAGATAGTGATGTGACGCAAACTGTCGATAACTCAGGTCGCACTCGATAAAGGGTCAACATCTCACCGTAAAACATGAATGGCATCATTAATTTAATTCTCTCATCGTGAGAGAATATTCCCAACTCTCTCTGTTATCACTTTCAGTTACTTCGAAATTCTTTTCATAAGTCCACAAAATCCGCATTGCATCCATTAAGTACTTACCTCAATGTAATCAGATTGTTCAACTTGTTATCTTTATCATAGAATTTTCATATCTCGCAGACATCAGATGTAATAAAATATGATAAATACCAATTAATCATGATTATATTACTACCCGAGTCATTTCAAAGCTTCTGGAGTTTGCCAGATCAGTGAAAACAAAGCATGCGATCTTTAATAACTCGACGAGGAGATGACGCAGAGATATTGTCCAACTTGCGTCATTACGTAAGGTGAAATGCTCACACATTGTCCATTGACGTTAATTTCTGTTTTACATTAATTAGCGTGTGTGTTATCACTGTATCAGTAGCTTCGAGAGAAGTTGATTAATTCGCGCGTCATTTCATAGAGGAGAGCAAGCGTTAGATTTTGAACTGTTGTCTGCTCGATGATCTGTGTGTGATGTCAATTTATTTAATTAGGAGATATAACTGTAATCTAGAGGTAATAATATATAATATAATGTTTGACGCAGTGTCTGTGGGTGATTGGCTTTTAGAAAAGTATTGTCCGTATCGGTTTAGGCTGTTAGTATCAGCGATTTTTAATGAAGAAAGGTTAGCCTTTGTACTGTGTAGAGTTAGGGTCAGTGACCCGTAACCAGTGCTTTAGTGATCCGCTATTCATCGATTCCAACCTCAGATCTTAAGATCCTAATAGATTTTGTAAGTGTCCTTCCTGACAAGACGTTCTTTGCTTTAAGCTTTGGACTGCAATCCATCCGCTGAGCTTAGAGAAACCCTCCCTTGGCCTCTTATGAAGTGAATACTCAGTAGTAGACCCTCACCTGTTGACATTGTTCAAGTCACATTGTATTTAATTCATATTTCTGTCTGACTTTCCTAGTTAAATATAAACAGTAGTATTAAAACACTAACTCATAAATTATGACAGTTTCGATATCAAGCTAATTTCTAAATTTAAATTATTTCTCAAGATATTGAATAAAGTGTAAGAAACACAGTTCTGCTAACTCCCCACAGCTCCAGTCGCAGTGATAGCATTAGTTATGATAAGTGTAAACACTTAGTTGTATCCAGTTCGCGATAAGCTTACTACGGCATATAACTGTAGGTTTTGTGATACCTAATAGGTATTCTGGAGCTCATATCTATTTCTTCACTAATATCAAATTAACTAGCAGGTCTGTCCATCTGTAATTCCCAAAATGACAAAATATAGTGGATTGGTTGGTAAAATGGTTATTCTTTCTATTTGTGTTGTAAATATACAAGAACGTTACTTATTGAAATAGTAATTAATCACTATACATGTAGTATTACTGATCGGCACCTCGTAGTACTAGAGTTGTTCTGAAGAGATTCTGATTAGTTTTACAATAAGAGTTAAGAGATTTCTGGAATCGTGGAATTAATAACAAAATTAAACGGTAAGAATTTAATTATGAATGAACCTGTAAGTTTACTTTTATGCCCAGTATTAATTACTGACAGTTGAAAACAAAAATAATGTTTGACGTATTAATATCTTTTTAGTTTTGTTCAGTAAATCGTTGGTCAACCAACCTGTAATGTGCGTTTATATTTCATCAATACTTTCAATCGTGGTTTCTTCTGTCCTGAACCCTTGACATATTTGTATCGAACTGCCATTTACGTTCAATCATTATTCATTACGGTAAAGTGCATATTACAATATTTATTTGTTATACTCATAAAAATGTCAAACTGTAATTTGTAGTCAAAAAAGTCATACGTATTCAATAAACAACAATGTTATCTCGATTGAAAAAATAGTAGTTAATTACCTGGTTTATTTAAAATTGGCATAACGGCGGCGCAGACGCAGCGCCGCACTAAACGCGCGCGGTTTATCGATATGTCAGAGGGCGTCAAGGGTTATCGATAACTGCGATAAAACGGCACCGTTGCGCGTCACTAGAGTTATTGTATAACTATTATACTTCACTAAAATCTGTTTATGTGTACCATTTTTGATGCGCAGTTCAGTTAACGTGAAGTTAAGAAAACATATGGAAATGAATGATTTTTGCCACGCCCAGAATGTACGAGAACATTATTGTAATAAAAGATCTTGGCCAATACTCGAAAGATATTCATAAAATAATTATGGGTAACGATTCCATATCAATGAAATTCGAGAATTTTTTCGAGTTGA